CCCCCCCCCCCCCCCCCCCCCCTCACGCCTCTCCCCGCTCACATCCCCCAAGCCGTCTTGATTCCCCGCACAGCTGTAGCATGAGCTGAGGGAGGGGGGGGGATATTGAGATAGGGACCGCAATAACGCAACTTGGTGTTTTGGTATTGGGGGCTAGTTGGAGGCCTGCCGTCCTATAGATGGGAAAACGTGGAGCCGGGGGGAGGGGGTTGAAGAGTGGCAGCAAAATATGAGCGACGTGGGTATCAACTCTACACGGCAACGCCGCGAGCCGATCGAAAGAATGTTGACACTGCGACGCCTTTGCGACGTACGCCCATCTCGCGCATCGATCAGAAAGCAGATCAGCTGCCCTTCTTCACCCAGAGAGGGCGACGACGACAACACCATCTCTTGACCGGATGGCCGTCCCCCCTCCCTGCACCGGAAGGGATCCTACCCACTCAAAGTTTCGTCTTTCGGATCATTTCTGTACGAGTATAGGATGAGCCAACGTAATTACTCGTTTAGTACGGATGTCAGTATATCATGTACATACATATACTCCCCACATCCGAGATAATATCCAATCATCACGGTCGACAACGGGACTTGAGATCCACACCGGTAGTGGTACGCCAATGGCTTTCCATATACCATCCTCCATGGGGTTTGCATCGCAGAGCCAATCATGGATTGTTTGCTGATCCCCGCGTCTCCACGCCGGATGTACTTGTACGAACATCTCCGCTATGTCCATTGTCCATTGTACCCACTTCTCCATCTGTCACTCGCAACACCAACTTGGCTATCCTCATGGTTGGGGGCACGGCTGATACGGCTAAAATGTCCTCGACCAGTAATGTGTCGCTTGATCATGGTAAATCCCTCCATACAGGAGGCTTTGATTTCGATGTCTTGGGCGGTTGGCTGTCGGTCTTTAAAAGGGTTCTACTTGCCCTTCGTTTACGGCAATCTGCTCTTCCTTCGTCGTCCACCCTGCGTAGCATCCCCCCCCCCCTTTTCTCTTCCTTCCCTCTCTCATCTCTCCCTCTCCGTCTCTCCCTCTATCCTTATGCATGACTTCTCCAGTTAACTCCCCATCTCGTCTTTCCTTGTGGTAACTGTCTCACCTCTGCCAACTGCCCACCATGGGTGTCAAGGAATTCTTCAAGAAGCGCTCCCTCAAGGTCTCAGACAGCAGCGTCACGAGGGCAGCCGAGCTGACGGTTCGCGAGTCTCTCTGGCCCATCACCCTCGTTACCCTGCTGTTCTTCCTCTGGGGCTTCAGCTATGGCCTTCTCGACACTCTGAACAAGCATTTCCAGAATGTGCTTGGCATCACTCAGGCCCGCTCTGCCGGTCTCCAGGCTGCTTACTTTGGGTAGGTCCATTCATGTACCGTCTCTCACTCCCATCTTCTCTAGGCGAACCGCCGCTCGCGGCTCTGGTACATGTGTGTGCGCGATCGATTCCTGACAGTATCTGTGCGCAACAGAGCCTACCCCATCGCCTCCATTGGCCACGCGTCATGGATCCTTCGCCACTACGGATATCGCGCCGTCTTCATCTGGGGCCTCTGCCTATACGGCCTGGGTGCCCTGCTGGCCATTCCGGCTGTCAAGGCCAAGAGCTTCGGAGGGTTCTGCGTCTGCATCTTCATCATTGGTAACGGCCTTGGATCTCTCGAGACGGCTGCCAACCCTTTCATCACTCGTGAGTTCGACCCGCCCAAGACCATGCAATGCATCTGTGACATGAGACGCTTACGAGAGTCGTCTGCGAACAGTCTGTGGCCCTCCTCGCTACTCGGAAATGCGCATCAACTTCTCCCAGGCCTTCAACGGAATCGGAACAGTCATCGCCCCCGTCATCGGATCATACGTCTTCTTCGACTTTAGCGACGACGACGCCGTGGAAAACGTGCAATGGGTTTACCTAGCCATCGCCGCATTTGTCCTGATGATGGCCGTCGTCTTTTTCTTCTCGAAACTGCCGGAAATCACTGACGCTGGTATGTATCACCAAGGGTCGAGGTGCAAGGAAAGAAGAAGAAGAGGGGA